TACTATTTATTTTTCTGCTGGAAAAAATAATAACTCTCATAACGAGGAATCTGAAGGCCAGGGTAGCTAAGGCCCTTGCTAGCCCGAGAACATGCAGCTGGTGGGTCTGAGGCTGGGTGTCTCCCAATCAGTTTGGCTCCATGTCCCCAGCTCTAGTTGTGACCCTGTGCTACCAAGTGTTGAATTCTTGATCTCAGGCGCCTATCATCTCATGGTGGAAGCCATGGGGGTAACCTGCAAGGTAGTGGGTAGCCCTGAAGTTCTCAACCCTCTACTTTTCACCATGGTGTGTCAAGAGCAAACCCAGGGACTGCTGAGGCTCACACGAACATTAGAATTCCTCTTGTAGTGATTGTGTTTGCAGTGACTCCGGAGAGATAGGAAAGAATCAGGTGAGTGGAAGAATGCACACACAGCACAGGGTCTAAGGTGAGTGTTCGTGCACACACACTGTGTACACAGGGCAGAGACAATTTGGCAGAGGAAAGGAAGCACACGTTTTAAAGGCAGACACTTGTGAATACTGCCACTGGCATTGTCTAGGTCAAGTTGGGCCAGTGCTTAGTTATGCCAAACAAACTCATATATAAAATGAAAAGCTATGGACTTTATAGAGCTGCTGTAAACACAGTAATAAGGAAAGTACCTTTTCTAGCATCTGTTGCAACTCAAGAGTTTTCCCCTAGAAGGGGATCCTGGGATAAACATTTGGAGTCGGAAAGTCCAAATAACCTTAAGCAAGAATCACCGTCTCTGATCTCCACCTTTTCCTGTATTCAACAGGAATAATAATAGCTAGTCTCCCAATCTTATTTGGTTCCTGTGAGACTCAAATGGGATCAGGTTCATGAAAGAACCCTGGATAATTGAAAATTGCTATCCAGTTGTTGGATGCTATGTTATTAACATCATAGAATTTCTCGGTATGAGCAGGCTATCCCCGCTGTTATTCTTGGATCTTCGGTGAAATCATTATGAGCATAACGCTTACAAAAGGAACGAGGCTAATTTACTACTAATGTAAGGCTAGTTATTTTTCCAACCCAGAGTTTTAGCAACAAGAGAAAGTGGGGTCCTCACCTGTCTGCCAACAAAGGAGTCTATTCTACATTCATTCTCTATCAGATTATGCACGGAAGGAAGGTCTTTTATTGTAAATGGGCGGTCTGGGAAAAATGCTTTTGTGGGTCTGCTGGAGAATAAACTTCAAGAGGCTAAATCCTTTTAACACACCCAGACTTGGCTCCTCTGCTTACACAGAGGATGGCGGGAGCACAGCAGGCAGAGAGTCTTCCTGCCGAGTGCAACAGTCCCACGGGGTAATAGGTGGTCATGCTGGGAAAAGGCAAGCTCAGGGTACCCCAAGACTTCGAGGCCATTCCTCTCCATGCCACTGCCTGCTCTTGACTAAACGGGGGTCCAGTTTCACCAGATTAGCAGTAGCAACAACAACAAAAAGAAGCCTTTAAAAAGATGCATCATAGGACAACGACCAGTCTTTACTAGAAATTGTAAAACTAGCCCCTGCCTGGCCATTAAAGTTTTCTAAAAAAAAATCCACATGGTGTTTGTGTGTGTGATGTGTGGGTGTGTGGGTGTGAGGTGTGATTTGTGCCACAGAATGCCTGTGGGGTCAGAAATTGTGAGGAGGTTGGTTCTTTGCCTTCCACCGCATGGGTCCAGGGAATGACACCCAGGTCCTCAGGCTGGACGGCAAGTGTCTTTTCTCACTGATCCATCTCACTGGCCCTGGCCGGCCATTACAGTTAAAACATTTTCCTCATTTTATCCAAGAACTTTGGCGTGATCTCTGTTTATGTGCAGAGACCCTGAAGCTGGGAAAGGACAAAGGATTCGCCATAGCCAGGCAGCAGCAGTGCCGACTGCCATCACCCCGTCTGCGCTTCCTAAATTAAGTCACACGTAGTCACCCACAGGATCGGATGGGATTCTTTCCATCGTGTTGGGTTCCAAGATTCCCTTTCTCTGGATTTGGGGAAAAATCTTAGCAAATGAAATCTACATAATTTGCTAAAGCTAAACTCAGGGCTCTATCCTCTTTCTCTGTAAGAGGAGAAATGGAGGCAATCTTTCTTAATAAGGGAAATATTTTCAGTTTCAAAAACACATAGAATGAAGCTGACCATGTTTAAACATATACATGTTTATATGTTAAAGCATCGTTTAACGACACCAAATACATGTATTATCAGTAAAATGGTATAGAAAACGTTTTCATCTTGCAAAATTGAAACTTCAATCTGTTCCTGTTCCTCGTCCCAACTCTACCCTGGAAACTACCCTTCTATTTTCCATCTCGACAAAATTGACGTTTTCGAGTCTCATGAAGGCGGAATTACACTACATTTATTTTTGTGTCTGTCTTATCTTTGAATAACGTCCTCACGGTTTATCATGTTATACTATGTGATAGAATTTCTTTCTTTTTAAAACTGAACAATATTCTATGGCACATATGTCCCCTTGGTCTGTCTAAGTTGGGATTTCTATTACTATGGTAAAACATCAGGACCAGAAGCAACTTGGGGAGGAAAGGGTTTGTTTCACTTGCAGCCTATAGACTGTCATCCAGGGAAGTCAAGGCAGGAACTGATGCAGAGGCCGTGGGAGAACACTGCTTTCTGGCTTGCCCTTGACTTGCTCAGAGTGCTTTCTCACCGCATCTAGGACCACTGGCCTAGCTATGGTACCACTCACAGTGAGCTGGTCCCTCCCACGTCAATCATTAGCCGTCAATCAAGAAAACACTCCACAGACCTATCTGGATTAATTCTTAATTGAGGTTTCCTCCTCCCAAATGACTCTAATGTCAAGTTGACATAAAATTAGCCAAACACCATTCATTCACAAATGTTTGGGTTGTTGTAGTGTACATGGGTGTTTACATACCTCTTCAAGGTCTTTCTTTGAATTCCACTGGATAAATACCTAACTATGAGACTGGTGGATTATATAGGATTCTACTTTTCTTTCTTGAGCGACCTTTGTAGTTTTTGCACAGCAGCTGTACATTTTACGTGCTCGCCAGTGCTGTCCAGCAACTCTAATTTTCCCACATCTTCACTCACACTTGCTGCTGATTTGAGGGAAAGAGGGGAGTAGTGGCCATCTTAATAGACCCAAAGTGGCCACGCGGTGGCGTTTGCTATGTCTATCTGATGAGCAGGCACACTCAGCATCTTGTCATATGTTTGTTAGCCAGGTGTAGGTCTTTGAAAAAGGAGTCTTTGGCTCCTTAGCTCACTGTCTTCCCGAGCTAATCTTGAAGTGAAAACATTTGCTGGGCTTTAAAAGTTCAAATCTCTTTCACATCCAATACGTTCGAACTTCAGCAAAATATCTGACCAAGTATCTTGTCTGACGCACGACGCCCTTATGGGTGATGTGGAGGGAAGGTGGGGTGGTAGCAGCATTGGGTGGGTTTATAATTTTCCATTTGCCTTTGCTTAATCCTGTTCAACAACAAATCAAAATGAAATTGCAGAGGGCTACGTTTTAGGGGCTATTGCCTGTTTCACTGTCAGTGATTTCCCTATCCTTCTTGAAGACAGCTGATTCTAGGACAGAACGGCAGCTGAAATTTATAGATAAATACTAGAATTTACATTCTAGCTGAAGGAAGACTTCATAAAATCCACGATTTACAAAGCTCAAACACAGAGTGATGTAACTCACTCTTTTCCTTTTGAAGGCTAGTAATATATTTCATTGGCAAGTTCAAGGTTCAAGTGGAGCCCACACAGCATAATGAAAATGCCCTAAGGACATCACATATGGCCTTCCAGCCAGTCAGCCAAATAGCAGCTTCCATTGCCAATACTGGGAAATAACCAAGCACATCATGGACTACTGCTGGCTCTGGTCACAAAACCCTAAATGGTGTATTCTATTCTAAAGAGGTGCCTTCTAATCTGAAAAAAACAGCAACCATCCAGAGGCAGAAGATAGGTAAGGAAAAGGAAGAACCAAGGAGAAAGGCAAATTAGGATGAGACAGATGTTTTGAATCTGTAGTGCTGGGGGAGATACCAGAGCCTGTGCATACTTGCTAAGTATTCCAGCTTTGCCCTGTACCCTCAGCCCATCAGTTTTGGTTTCCATGTTACAGAGACAGGCTCCGGAGTGCTGGGAACCAGCCCACTTCAGAGGAGAACAAGTGTTCCTCCCTGGAGGCACCTGGCAGCGTTTATACAGAGGCTGGTGAGCCTCGTGGGACCTCCAAGAGTTCTCTGATTTTACAAATCTGAGTCAATGTAACTTATTTAGGGCCCTACCAAACTCTTGACTCCTACAAAGCATTGCCAAGTCAGTGAATCCTGAGTGTTCGACTCCTAGTCTTTTTCTGTCCCGTTCCACGCCAAGGCTGACTTCTGTGGGCACCAGCAACGTGGGACCCTGATCCCTGGCTTCCACAGCGAGGTGGGGACAGCAATAGTGGGAGGCTACAAGGAAAGCATGTGGGACTCAACTTCCTCCTTCCCTGGCTCCATGTCCTCCATAACACACCTGCTTAAGCAGTTCTCCAAACTCTCCTTATTCTGTTGGTGATGCTTGTTTCCCGTCAGAAGCGTGAAAGACTGCTAACAAATCAATAGCAACCATCACTGTGGACTATCAGAATTCTGCCATCAAAGACAGGCAATGGGAAGTTCACGTTGGCATGGGTCCAAAGAGTGAGGAATTTCCCAAAGTTTATTTTGAGAGTCGCCACACAGTGGGTCGACAACTGAGCATTTCATGGGCATGGTTAAAAATCAGCAGGGCCTGGAGAGATAGCTCAGTGGTTAAGAACAGATGCTGCTCTTACAGAAGACCTTAGCTCAGTTCTTAACACCTGTGTGGGATGACTCCCAAACACCTGCAACCCCAGCTTCAGGAAATCGGGTGCTCTCTCCTAGACTCCGTGGATACGTGCACTCACACATTACATATGCAGATCCACACACGCACAGATTTACCCGTAATTAAACAATAAAACTAGTGTCTACTTCGGCAGCACATATACTAAAACTGGAAGGATACAGAAAAGATTAGCAAGGCCCCTGCACAAGGACGACATGCAAGTTCATAAAGGCTTCCTTTTATGTTTAAAACAAACAAAGCAAAAAAAAAATCTTAAACTAAACCACCATAGCCACTGCGAACAACAGAAAACACCTTGAAAGCCCATTATTTTATGACTAAAATTTTAACACGGCCGAGCAGGATGTTTTGGTCCACTAATGTTCATTTCTTCGTTAAAAATAAGTAAAAACGAGAAACTAAAGTGCACTTTAGAAATCCGTAGTGCAAAAATATCCCTTTCAGAACTCTGCAGACTACAAAAGTTTCGTCTCCATCCCTTGCCACCATCCGACTAGCTGTAACGTTCAATTTCGGCTTAAAGAAACGGCTGAATGACAAATTGCCTCGCAACAGGTCTTCTACGAAAGACGGGAGAAGGCTGCTGACAGAGCGAGCTAAAAACGGCAGTGTTCGCAATCTGGAAAACATCTGCCCTGCCCAGAGCGCTAAACGACCACACTGCAGAAAATGGTCCGTGACAAAGCAGAGCCCAAGAGTGTGTTTGGGAGGTGATGGGACAAGTCAAGGCTATTCAGGTACAGAGCCCAGCAATGTGCTCTTTGGCAAATTGTTGCAAGCCAAGGCACTAAAAGAGGAAACAAAAGCCGCGGACCAGCTGTAAGCACTTCAAAGGAGCCACGTGGCTCCCTACTTTTCTCACGGTTGGCACCGGCAAAAACTGCCCTGCCACTTAGGGGCCGCGCTTGTTTGGTAGAGGAGAGAACTTTACATAAGGAGAAATAGAGAACACACAGCAGGTTTTATGCAGTGAAAGGTCAAGTCAAGGGTCAAGCTGTGAACATGAAAACAGTAACACAAGCAGCGTTCTGCTTCCCCTGACAGCAAGCTTCTACCAACCTGAGCTAATAGAGGGACCCAACCAGTGGATAACGCAGAAAGAAGTCGGGCAACACACAGCGAAAGGAAAAGGCTAGACCTTTCTGAGGGGGGGGTCTCAGAGGTCGGAGACCCACAGCTCTACCCTAGAGATGAGGAAAAGAGCAGCTCTACCCCAGAGATGAGGAAAAGAGCAGAGACGACAGCGACTCCATGAAGCCAGCTGTGTCCAGGCGCCGGCTGGGAAGGACGCTGACGAAATCTTTCCTTTTCAGTTTCGTATCTGACCCTTTCCACCTCATCCAAAGCTGGTGTCCTGAAAGGTCGTCAGGGACTAGAGTTGAGACACAAATAATGAAGCTCTCTCTGCAGGCGGGACCTACAGAGGACAGCCAGTTTTGACAACTGGACGCATCCGGGGACGGAATTGGGACTCAGTGGGGAAAGGGCAAGGGTCCAGGTGGGGGAACTTTATCAACGGATGGTATCCCAAAGCACAGAAATCAGGACGATGAAAGAGCAAAGAAAAATGATAGAGAATGATCTTTCCTCCAATATAAGCCTGAGTTTGTTCTTGAAAGAGGTTTGGCATAGTGGGAGGGCAGGAAGAGTCCAGGGACCTGCTTTTGTCTTCCCAGCAGGAAAACAAATACCTCTTTAGCTTCTACATCATTAAGATAGAGATGATCCCTTATCTTACAGAGAGAATGAAATTAGTCATTGCAACATATTTTATTGAGCATCAACTGAGCCTTAGACCAGATACTGGTGTAAGAATCCGGCAGGATATTCGACTGGTAGCAGTCATCACGATGGTGTATAGCACATATTTTTAGCTTTCAAAGATGGCAGACACAGTGACGGGAACCGGCTAACAGGGCTCGATGTGGTTCTGCCCTTCTAATTTGAATCCCTTACTAGAATGTATGTCTTCCTAGGGTGTGGTCTATCTAGCTCCTTCACAGACTGAAGCATAGAAGCTCAACGCAGGCTGGTTTCGGTGAGGGACAGTCTTTCTAATGTCAGAAACATGTGGGACATGAACAACAAACAGGGAGAAGGAGAGCTGAGGCCTTGCTCATATTATTTTTGTACTTGAAAAAGAAAAAAAAAAAGCTTCCTTTGAGAATCCACTAGGCACATGCACCTAACCCTCCCCAGGTAAACCCAGAATTCTAAGTAGCTGTATTAGGCTTAACTTAGTTTTATATTCTGTTCTAGAGTGGAATCCATGGATAAAGCGGTCATCAGCAAACTTGGAGGGTTGGTGTTTTAGAAAGTATAACAAATGCCAGTCTTTTCTGCTTAAAGCTTGCAAGATTTCTTCTAGCCGTACTGAGTCGAAACTAAAACAAAAAATTGTTGGTTGGAAAATGAGAAATCCCATGATAATTTTGAAATTTCCTTAGCTTTGACCAAACTAGAGAATGCAAGACCATTCCCTTGAAATTCTATCCTACTTGAGAAGGAGAAGGAAAATGACTCATTTCCAATCTGCCCCACACCATACAGCTCAGTGCAGGATGAAGCTATTACAATTTTTCTTATACGTATTTGTGTGTGTGTGTGTGTTTATACACGCACATACCAGGCATGTATGCGGAGGTCACAGCACAATTTGCAGGGCTTCTTCCACCGTGGGAGATCTCAGGGGTGGAACCCTGTGGCAAGAGCCTGTACCCTCTGAGACACCTTGTCAGCTCCAAAGTTCTTTTAATCTGTCTATCTGTGTATCTATATATTTATCTGTGTATGTATGTTTTATGTATGTATCTATCCATCCATCTACCTACCTATCTCCACATATGCTCACATACATAAACCCCAGAGCTTAGAAGGCTGACTGTAGGTTGATACGCGGATCTTATCATTTATTTATTTATTTATTTATTTGGAGGAAACAAAAAGATTTTGGGCATACTATAGCAGTTACAAAGTAGGGTTCCACTGCGGCCACTCTGTTAGGGCTTCTGAGAGCTTATGAGAAGCCTTGGTATTTGCTGGCTTTCTTCTGACTTCTGCACTAGGGAGTCGCTGCCTCTCAGTAGCTTTTTATTAGTCACACGTCAAGGATTCCCCGCTCCTTTAATGGGTGTGTATGACGCTTGGCTTGAAGAATTCAAGAGGTACCGTGTTCTTTCAAAATGGAAAAAAAAGAACCCAACTTTAAACAACAAAATCCTAAGTGGCAAAAACTGTCTCATGTCTAGATTTAATGTTCACCTAAATTTACTGTTCATACAACAAGACTTAACCAGCCCCAAGAATTTTGAGTAAGCTGCCTGCAAGTTGATATCGAGAAAGAAATATGCTGTGCCCTTCCATCATGACTGACTGACTAATGCCACTAAATAATGAGCCGTCACCATCAGCAGAGCCTAGAACCAGCACGGTGGAGCCCAGAGATTAAGATACATTTTTAAAAATTGTATTTGTCATAAGGTATTTAGATTTGTGAGAGGAGAGTGTCTGTCAGAAGGGCATGACCTTTGAGTGTAGTCAGAGCTGCAAGATGGAGGTCTCAGATCCTGTCAGTGTCTGGCTGTGTGAGATCTTGACCCTTCTCACCCTCAGTGGCCCTCACATACCCAAACCACTCTCTCCATATCATAGGAGCTTCAAATGGGGATGAAGTCACTGAGCAGCAAACATCCTGAAGGCTCACAGTGGATGCTCTACAGATATAAGCCTTCTGTGACATCAGAATAGCACTTGAGTCCTTGAATCAGATCATAAACAGAGTTTCCAGTTTGGGGGTGAGTGACTTCTGAACGGCATTCACTGAAACCTAAAGACCGGACTTCAATTAGAGTCAGCCAGGGTTGGCCGTGCATGCTTAGAAACTCCCAGCACTCAGAAGATTTCAAAGCCAGCCTGGTCTACATAGCAAGACCCTGGTCTTAAAAACAGAAAAGACTTCATCTAAAGGATAAGGCATTATCATCCAGATGGAACAAACGGTGCATTTCTTAGCAGTATTTGAACCAGGATACACCAAAATTCCTTTTCTGTGACTTTCTTCCCCTGTGTAAAAGCTACCAAAGCCCAAAGCTCTGGAGTCACCTCGAGTTTTCTCTCATAGCCCACATCTGACCCGTCAGTGACCCTATTATCACTAGTTTCCAAATACACCCTGAACCTGCCCACAGGCCACCGCCTCCTCCACCTCTCCTCTTGATAAAGTTTCTCTGTTTCAACATGTCGAAATGTCAGCCTTCTGCTCAGAACACTGATGTTTGTCCATGCGCTCAGCATCAGGCTTCCAGCCCACGAAGCCGCCAGCTTACCAGCCTGCTGGGTCTGCGACTTTTGGGACCTCATCTAATCCTCCTCCTAGCTCTGAGACCTACTCCTAGCTCTTTGTGGGTAGGCCACTCTCAGGGCCCCGTCTTTCCTCTTTCCTTGATAAGTGGGTTTACAACTAGTGGCTTGTACTATCACCCGTTCAGACACCCAGCTCCTTATGACTATGTTATCTGTTTTTTATGACTACTTGTTTTGTTTGGCCCTGCTCTGAAGCTGTTGAACTGGCTGTCGTGGCAGTGACATTTTAGCTCACCTACTCACTGGGACCAGTCCAGCGGGGCATAAATACTAGGACCGTAAAGTTGAATCAGCTCCAAAGTATCTCCAACCTCTAGGTGTTTCTCACCAACACGTTCGTCCTCTCTCACACTCGGTAACCATTCAGTAGAAGTGAGCAAAACCAAAACAACTCCATTTTCCTCCCAGACATCCCCACCCCTCTGCACTGTTAGTGACCAAGACAAAGATCACAAGTTAGTAGGTAGCCCTGGGTGACTGAGCCGTGACTGCAGAGCCGTCCTGCTTCATGGGTCATTTCGGTGAGATGGAACAGTTTTCTCGCTGCTTCCAATACACCTGTGTGCCAAGAATATTCCCGTGTCTGTGGGCGTCCTGGGAAAACACACTTTTCAACAGGGATGACTGTGACCGGCTATCTGACCCTCTGGAAAGCGGTCCCCACAGGGCAATGACTACAGGTACTCCTTGAGGGCCACGCTGGTGCCTGTAGAGATAGCCAGGCTCCCGTACGATGGAGATGGGGTGGGATAGAGAGCGCGCGATCAACCAACCACATTCACTCTCCTAGGCCGCCTTCTACATGGGGACCAGGATGCCTGAAAGGTGGCTGAATACGTTAGAGCCAGTGGCTTTTATTTACCGCATGCTGGGATGTCGCACAGGTCAGACTTGAAGTTTTCATCCAGGGTAAAGCACCAGGGGGCTTCCTTCTGGTTGCCAGGGTTGCGGCAGTAGGAGTGGCCTCCGTTGAGCTCGGGGAAGCGCAGGGCGGTGAAGCTGTGGGTGTGGGGGTACTGAGAATTCCACGGCTGGCACTGGCGTCCTGACTTGGTCACACTGACGGTTCCCCGGTAGTCGACACCTGTGCTGTTGTAGCATTTGTGATCTGGAAAACATAAAAGGCAATCAGAGGGAGAGTCACGGGGGGGCCGTCCTTCTTGACAGCTGTGTGGGTGTAGGGGAGGAAGGGCAGCCTAAGACCACGCTACCATGCTGCCTCAGGTCTCTCTGCCAGTGAGGGTGGGGGTGGGGGGTGGGCCTTTCTCTCGGTTAGCAGGGCTTGTACTCACATTCCCGGGAGGATTTAAAGCTTATGCTTCTGGAATAAAATGAGCTTCTGCAGTGTTTTTAATGGGGAAATACCAAAGAAATGGGAGTGGGAAGGGACCTGGGCACAGGAGGAACCTCTTATGGTTCACAAGTGAGTGGCTCAAAGATTCGAGACAACCATTTTCTTCCAGTCCACTGGCTGTCTTAGAAACTGCGTGATGGAAGAACCTAGGGATAACTCACAGAACGAGGCTCCTGGAGGCGGTGCGGTCTGTGTTTCAAGGAGACTTGGGGCTGTTGGCGCTGATGGAATGGGCTGCCTGTCGGAAAGCGGGCACTTGTATACGGCCCAAAGGACCACGACAATGGCATTCGCTAATGAGAAAATGAATTCTAGATGGAAGGGACACGGGGAGAGGGACAGCCTTCTGTCTTGAGTGGTGAGAGACGAGGGGAGGGGGACACGTCTCCATATGCATTTGTCCAGTGCAGTACAGTGTACACAACATGAAGCTGAACACGAGCTCACTTGGTACATTCCAGATTGTACGGCCTTCCTACTACCTCTTACAGCAGGGCTATCTCCAAAGCGGAGTCCATAGCTGTCGGTCAGTTCTTCCTACCATCGCTGCCTCCGAACCTCAACTCTGCTTCCCATCTCAATGGATCTGTCCGCTTTGGACATTTCCTATAACTGGGATCATGTAATGGTTTCTGGTGCTTAGCACCGTACTTTCCAGTTTCACCCAGTTGTGTCTTTGTATCTCATTCCTTTTTATGGGTGGTATTTAAATGTGTGCATATATATACCATCATCTGATTTTATAATAAAAGTTATTTTGAGGCAGGGCCTCTAGTACCCAGGCTGGACCTGAACTTACAAACTCATAGTGTAGGGAAGGATGGCTTCAAATTGCTGATCCTCTCGGGCCCCATCTCTTGAATGCTGGGATTACAGACATGTATCACCTAGTTTATGTAATGCTCGGAATGAACCCAGGGCTTTGTGAATGTCCACCAAGCACTCTACCAACTGACCTACATCCTCAGCTCCTTTTGTGAATAATTCTATCATGAGCAGTCTTTTGAGCTGGGCAGTGATGGTGCACACCTTTAATCCCAGCACTCGGGAGGCAGAAGCAGGAGGATCTTTGTGCATTTGAGGCCAGCCTGGTCTACAGAGTGAGTTCCAGGACGGGCTCCAAAGTTACACAGAGAAACCCTCTCTTGAAAAACCAAAATAATAATAATAATAATAATAATAATAATAATAATAATAATAATAATTTTTAAATTTAATGTGCATGTGTGTTTTGCCTGCATATATATATATATATATGTGTGTGTGTGTGTGTGTGTGTGTGTGTGTGTGTGTGTGTGCACAACATTTATGCCTAATGCTTTTGGAGCCAGAAGAGGGCATTGAATCCTTCAGAACTAGAGTTAAGGACAGTTAGGAGCAGCCATGCAGGTGCTAGGAACTGAACCCAAGTCTTCTGCAAGAGCAGCAAATGCTCTTAATTGCTGATAATCTCTAGCCCATATTGTGAACACACTTCTGTGACTTTCCATTTGAAGACCTGTTTCTAATTCTTCTGATTATGTCCTCAGGAGTGGACTTGCTGGGTCATGTGGTAAATTCTGTGTTTAAGCTCTTGAGAAACCAGATCCTGTATTTTTCAATTGCCTTCATGAAACCTCTCCAAGGCCAGTCTGTCTAAGCCACCACAGAATGCTCAGGCGTGGTATTCAGCTCACTGGAAGGCTAGTGATCAGTGGGCACAGTCCCAGTACGAATAGTTCTGGGTGCCAGCGTCAGAGCCACCACTTACTTTTGTTTATAGGATCTGCCATGGGGATGCCGATCCGTATGCAGTTGGCAGCTTCCGGGCTCTCCGGCTGGGGAAGATCCTCACAGTTTGGCAACTTCAGCCTCATCAAAATCATAGGATTTGATCGGGCAAAAATGTACTCTGTCTGACACAGGACGTTTTCCAGGACTTCACATTCATCACGACACAAGTCGCGGGGCTTTGGGACAGATGAGGTTTCGTCACAGTACGGGAAGGCGTAGTGGCACAGGGAAGGGATGGCGAACTGAGAACACTTATCAGATAAGTGGCTGGAGGTGCCAATCATGGTGAAGGCAGCTGAAAAGCAAACAGAGCTATTAACTCCCAGGGGCCAAGGTTTATCTCTGTTGTGATCCAGTCAACAGAGACAGGGAGAAACACACCGCGGGGAATCCGCCCGGCTGAAGCCCACAAGGCCAAGGCGAGTAGATTCGTTTCAGATGTCTAAGCAGCTCACTTTCACTGGCTTGAAAAAATCATTTTGACTACAAAGTTAGAAAAACAGGATTAAATTACATATGTACCATTTCTTAATAAAAAGAATTAATTGGGTTAACGTACAATATATTTTCCTTTCTTTCCCCCCTACAAGGCAATAGGACTTTGTGTTCACCCCATACTTTGTATTAATTTTTGCGATGCTCTAAGACATCGGAGAGCCCCAGCTCAGAGCTTGTTTCAGGCAGGGCTTGTGCTGAGCGTAGGATGGTGCTGCCACATGGCAGGAGTTGCTGGGTGGCTTTGGACCGCTTGCTTCATTTCATTGTGGCTTGAATACTTTCTATTCCATCTTTGGAAAATGAGGCAATGCCCGGAAGACCACAATTCAATTGTCCCAGAATGCACCACAGGCTCTCAGAGGTCTGTTAGCCTAACGTCACACACATGGCATCTATACCAAAAGGGCACCAGCCCTGAAGGCTGCCCATGAGGCTGTTTACACTGCTTCCCAAAGATCATTTCTAGGGACGTTAAGCTGATAGCATATTAATGGCTTCTGGGAAGCAAGGGTGACAGAGGCCAAATGAGTCTGGGAAGTGTCGGGTCAAACAAAATAAAATGATTTTTCTTTCAAAAACAAAATGAAACTATAATATTTTCCAGCAAGCCAGTGCTCACTGAGCACATCCAAAAGAGAGTTATTATACACCAACTACAGAATATTTATAGCAGAACAGCATTTATTTAATGTGTATTCTTATTTGAAAGTTTGTTCAAATGTTTTTGCACTGGGTGGAAACACTGAGTTCAGCATCTCCTTCCTGTTAGGCCTATGTCTGCTCAACCCTGAGGGCTTCAACAAAAGGCAACATCACCTTCCTGCCCTTGATTCTGGTTCAACAATCCCCCTCAGCTGCTTCTCAGTTCTGTCAAGTTGTTTAGAGAACAGAATTTCTGGCCCTTTTCCTTCCCTGTGTCATGGATTTATCCATGTCTCTCCTAAGTCCTCAAGTT